GGGCGGGACGAGAGTTTCGCTCGGCGCCTCTCATTGGGCTCCGCGGTCCGGCACCACGTGACAGCCTGGCAAGCGGAGGAGCTGGCTTCGCTGAGCTCTGGCGCCACTGCGTGGCCGGCGGGCCGGCGGCGCTGGGGCGCGGGGCTGCTGCGCTGTGCACCGATTCCCTCAGGAGCCAGGAGGGCCCCAGCTGGACCTGGGCTTTGTGCTCTAGGGCTAGCCACTCCGGGGCCGCCTACTTCCTTGCGGGCACCGCCGTGCCCACTGGAATAGGAAAGGCCGCTTGCCCGGCGGCCTAGGCTGAAATCCTATTCCCCTCCATGGCGTTTTCTAACAGGGACCAGAGGTGACATCCTTGAAGGATCTTTACACCCTGTCCATGGCCCCGCATCCCAGGCATCTTCTGCATTCAGATTCTTCAGGCACTGTCCTGGCAAGACCTTGAAAACAAGGTTTATAGATGCAGGTGAGACCTCCCTGGATCCGGGTACAGAAACTAAAAAAACTGCCATTTGCAACTACAGGCATCTTGGTGCCCCTGGGTCCAACTTTCTGCTGTAGGTTTCTGGGCAGCCAGGAGGCTGGGAAGGTAGGTCTGCAGAAAGAGCAGATAATGCCAGAAGCTATCATTTCTTGCCATGCTGACATCTTGCTGGCTAGTGTTGACTACATCCAGGAGGTGAAGTACAGGCAAGGGGACCCAAGGCCGCTAGGGGCTTACGTTCTCCACAGGTGGTTGCTGGGTCCATTGAAGTATCTGTAGGATGTCGAAGGGCACACCCAACAGGAGACAGGTGCAGGAGAAAAGAACTTGGAACAAACAGCAGTGGGCTCCATGGCAGGATGTAAGGAACCACACCAATGAGCTAAGACCAGCTCTTTGGAAAACACAACTTCTTAGCAGTCACTCCTTTCACAGGATGTTTGGGGGCAGCAGGAGCAAAGTGTTCACATTGCTAAATACCAGTCACACAGCAACTGAAAACCATACTGCACATAGCTCTCAGGCCCTCTGAGGCTGCCAGTCCTCTCACCACTTCAGTGTAAACCGATTCCTGCCAAACTTACAAAAATCCAAGTAAGCAAGGGGCCTTATTCACACTAGACCTAGACTGGAACCCCCAGTGGACGGATAACTAAGTACCAGGTGAAGAAATGCCAACGTACTCACTGCTTGTTCTCCATCTGCTGAGCCACAATACAAATGTCCCTAAGCCCAGCAATAGGCCCACCTTCAGCTCCTCCTACTGGATTGGATTGGATGGGATGGGGGTTTGAAGGCGGTGTCAAGCCTAACTCTTCACACCGCTGGTGAAGAGTGTACAATACTCTGAAGCCCCTAAATCCTGTTATGGGAGGTTTCTGGCACTAGCCGGCCAAGGGACCTTTGCAGACTGGCAAGATAAAGCAGTAGATTATAAAGCAGAATTCTGTTTCAGTTAAACTCTCCAAAGACAGAATTTTTTTTTCCCCTTTAATAAAAAAATCCCAGACAAACTTTGAAGTCCTAGAGTAAACCAGCAAAAGAAGGAAGTAAATTCCTCCCTTGGGGGGAGGGGGCACCACAGAGCCAGCATCATTAGGAAAGCTCCAGGCTTCACACCTCATTGTCAGAAGCCTGCTTAAAAAATAAATTACAAAATGGTTGTCTGGGGAAGAGACAGGTGAACTGTTCTTCCCTCAGGAGCAGCAGGGATGGGGCAGACTACAAATCAGTCCGTGCGCTGGCTGCTTTGGGGGCGTATTTAGGCATCAGTTCATTTATCTTCCGGATGTAGTCAGACTTTTCCGCGCAGCCTTTGCACATCTCTCCCCAGTCGTCCAGGATCTTCTTCAGCTCTTTCACCCGGAGCTTCTTCAGGTCCACTGTGCTCAGGTCGATCTGTTTGTCTGCAGGGAGAGCAGGGTAGTGAATAGCTGGGTAGGAGAGGCTGCAGCCCCTAACTGCTGCATGCCAAACCATTCCTGAGGAAGACCAGCCTGACTTGCAGCAGGGGAGACACATGCATACTGTGCAAGAGGGAACTGGCGTTCTTCACCAGCAGGGCCACCTCAGGCTGTCAGTATCTGCCTCAGGACATGCAGTGTGCAGTTCAGAGCACCACATGGTTCAGAGGAGAAACATGGCTCCAGTTCTCCAAGACCTTCTACATATCAGCACAGAATGACAGACAGTTCCCCCATCTCCTCATCAAAGCTTACTCCATAACCCACATGACCCAGACAGACCTACAGCAGAACCAAGCAGGGTACCAAATCACCACAAGCACGAACCACAAACACAAGGCTCTTGGACATGTGAGTTATACTTAACACTGGCTTTGTTTAAACTTTATGGGAGAGGCTGGCTCTTCAAGACTGGGGTCATGTGTAATGAGATGGGCTCTTTGACGGTGATGCTGTGATGCCTACCACTGTTATGCTAAAGGGCTGAGGGCCATCAGAAGTACAGGTTTGTTAGTCTCATTACATCACTTCTCTGCTCAAAAGCTTCTGATGCTCCCAACCTCACTCCGACTGAAAGCCAAATTCCTCACCAAACCCTAAAGGCCCTGTCCAGCTTGTCCACCTTATGTATTATACCTCTGTATTCTCTGTCTGTACTGTCCTGCTATGAGCTGGCCTCTTGGCTAGTCCTCCAGTTTTCAAAGTTTGTTAAAAAGTCACCCTTTCAACTTCTGACCTCCCAACTTTGCTGTAGAACCCTGCACAGAGTATCACCCATCATGCTATCAACAATGGTGATGACTCTTCTGGCTGGGAAGCAAGCCCAGAAGGGCACGCAGCTATCACAGGAGGCCCACAGTCCTGGTCACACTCACCGTATTTTAGCTCACAGATCTGGCTGTCTTTCTTCTTCAGCTTCTCACAGATCTTCTCCACGGGGATATGGTGGGCCAGGGGCTTGGATACCTCATTGATGATCTTGGTGGCTGCATCATCTGTGGCCCCAATGTAGTAGCACTGTAGCAAAAACCAACACCAAACAAAAGCCTTAAAAAAGAATTTGTGTGCATGACTAGGTGTACATGTGTGAAGCTGCTGAGGAGGCCGGAAGAAGGCATCGGATTCCCCAGAGCTGGAGTTACAGAGTGTTGTGGGTGCTGGAAACTAAACTCTGGTCCTCTGCAAGAGCAGTACATTTTCCTAACCACCCCAGCTCCAGACAATGGCTGTTAGGTCATCTTGAAAACTGCTCTCTGCCAAGGCCTTTAAGTTTTTAGTCCTTGCCCAGACCTAAACTCAGGGCTCTTGATGTATGCTCAGTCCCAGAGTTCCCAGACGAGTTTAAGAACCATCAGAGTTCCAGTGAGAGACTGCCAGAGAAATTAAAGCTACAAAGGTCAATGCTTTCCTAAGGCCCTTGCCTTGACTTGGCCACCTCGGGGCACCTAACTACTTCTGATCCCAAACACAGCACACTCTTTCCGGTCTTTGGACACTCACTCGGCTTCACTGATCCACCCCCTCCCTCAGAGGCACCTCTGACTACTTTCTCTAATAGCCCCTCCCCACCCCCAAACTATCCTAGAGTATTTTCATGGACACACCATTCACTGCTTTGCATTTGTCTGTCACTTTTCTCTTCTGGCGTACTCAGCTCACGGTAGACACGTAATAAATAAATACAGGCTAAAAGTTCTTCAGTCTCACATTAGTTTACAGACAGGTCCCATCATGAAGTGGACAGTACACACGAGCCAGGGACAGCCTGGGTGGGTCACCAGCTACTCACCAAGCGATTCTCTTTGCCTCTTGCTTCACGGCAGAACTTTACAAGTTCTTCTTCAATAGTGGCTGGTGAAAATGTGACATCTCTGTCTTTGAGGTCCTGGTAAAACCTTCCCAGGTAAGAAATACACACTGGAAAAGAGAGGTGGTAAGCAAATTACTAATTCCCATTTCCCCAGAAGAAACTCTGTCAGCCGTTTTGGTGGAAGGGATGATGATCATTAAAACGTTCCCCATCACTGGGTACTCACTCACAGGTGCCCAGAACGCTTAGGTTGCTGGGGACCCAGTACCCGAATGAACATTACCCCAGTGACCCCCGCAAAATCCTCCTTGCTCTTTTCAAGTTTAAGCCGAGAGTGGACACGTGTCCTTGAGAGGGAACTCACTGTGACCTCATAAGGGACAGACTGGAGGCTGAAGTGAACGATCAAACGCTCCTTATTCCAAATACAACACCGAACCTCTAAGTGCAGCTTGGCAACCCCAAGAGACCGTTGAGGCCCACGGGGTCCCTTCCCGGAACCTCTAAACAGTGATGGGGAAAGGACAAAAACTCCCGCGTTGTGGGCTTTCGGCCAAGTTTTCAACGCGATTGATGCCACGCTTTCCCTCAAACGGATCAATATTTCTAGGCCCGGGTAATAATTGCAAGGCTCTGCCTCCTGCGGTCCCCGTTAGGAT